TCAGTCTAATGCTCAGACAGAATTGAAGCTGGATATGTAAGTTTGAGAACCACTGGAATAAAAGTACAATAGAAAGAGATATCCTCTTTTGAGAACAGATTTGGCAGGGGAATAGGAAGGTAAGCAGGTGGCAGGCTGCAGTTGGTTGAGAGGAAGTTGAGGCAAGGGACAACTGTCTTAGTTTTGTCATTGCTGAGACAAAATAGCCAATGTCCAAAGTTAATGTGGGAAAGGTTTTTTTAGCTCATGGTTTGTACACGTTTCAGTCCATAATCAGTTGACTCCAAGAGGGGCAACAGTTCATGGTGGCAGAAACCAGCAAGAGGAGGAAAGGAGGGCTCTTTCTTTCCCTTATATTGTATGCAGGCTACCTGCCCTTGGGCAAGTGTAGGACTCATACCTTTAATCCCAGCACTGGATCATGAATCAATCACAAATGTTAGATTCAACTGCCTCAAAAAAGCCTGCCCCTCGTGATTGCATGAGGCTTTGGGGAACATCTGACACAAACCATAACAGCAACAGATATAGGTCGTTCTTTCAAATAATTTGTGGGGAAAAAGATAGGGAGTTTTAAAAAAATCTTAAAGCAGATGTAGGGGTAGAGTGGAGGTATTTTATGAGAAAAGTTTTTAGCCTGTTTATAGGCTACGAGTAAGAAGTAATAGGAAGGCTAAGATGAGAAATCTAAAGAGGTTCAGATGAAACATGTGGACTGCAATAATCAATTCTCAGAGGAAGAAGAAAGAGATGGAATACTGAACACAGAGGGCAGAGTTGTCCAATAAAAGAATTGACATATAGGTATTAAGTCAGGATAGTGAACGAGGAAATTCAGAAGATGGGTGAGAACACAGAGATTTCTGACTCAAAGTGATTTCTGCATTCGTGAGTGGCTGGGACATGATGCCATCTGCTGAGAGTGAGAGGGTGAGATTAAGGTAAAGATTTTTCTTAATTTGTGCTGCAGATAAAAGGGCAAAAGGCATGTAAGCTCTCCATGAGTGTTACCCTAAGGCCTGTCCATACCTTCATAAGGCTGTGGCTCTCAAACCTTCACATGATAGCTTTATTGATTTCAAATTTCAAATCCTCTTTAGACTAAATTCCGTGATTGATTTTTCTGTATGCCATTAGCTCATTTTATAGTATCCCAGGGCAATGAAGCTGTTAATCTCTCCAAGTTCATTTTCAATTTAATAAGACTTTATGGCCTTCCAATTTTACTTGATTGGATGACATTAAAGATAAGCAAAATATCTTTAATTTGTCTCAAAGGACCAAACCAAGGAAAACATTTCCCTAGCCTTGATGGGAAGAGCATACAAGGAAATTTTAAAATGTTGGCAAAGTTTCCCCTCGGCTGATCACAATAAGTATGAACCCTTCATTCCTCTCTCTGTAGAAAGTGAACTTTATCATTCCTATTTTCCAGCTGACACTTGAGGCTTTTATGTGTAATCACTTTAAAACTCAGTTGTAGTGTTGACGAGTTGTCAGTTCAGAGAGAACTGCTTCATAAGGAAGCACAAGCTTCTTCACAAGGAGTTTGAAAACAGATGAATGGTTATTCAGTATTTACTAACTCTACCATAGCTCATTCAGACTCCATATTTTTGGCGTGTATTACTTTACCACTGAGAATTATTACTCTTAAAATATCAGAACTTTTAGATTGTTTTCTCCATTACTAAAAATGGATACATTTTAAGTAAAATATTAAGAGTTAGAAATGTTGTCACCTGACTTTTTTGTTTGTTTTTGTTTTTTGTAAAGCAAAAGTAGATGGAATTAAGGCCTACTTGATTTTCTGTACAAATTACATTGTCTGTGTAACTATAATGATTTGAACGTTTATCTTAAAGGTAATTTCTGCTTCAATTTCTAGGATCAATTGTGGCCTTTAATAGGGATGATTTTAAGAAACACAGACCAGGCTTTGTTTGGCACAACATTCCCAACCAGGCTGAGTGCGGCTGTAGTTGTGATTGCATTTGCAATCATTGGTCCTTTGTGTACTTATCCTCCTGTTCACTGCAGGGTCCTATGAAGGAGAAAACACGTGGATCTGACTCCTTACTCTACTGCTGTCCATGCCCTGTGGTGCTAACTTATTTTATTTCTCTGAATCTCAGATCCCTTATCCCTCAAATGTTGTTAGAATACTTTCATTGCAGAGGTGTTATATAATGCCTCACTTTGGTCTGCCAATAGAAGGTTGATCCATTTCCCCCCCTTTCCCAAATTCCTGCCTTCATAGACTCCTCACTACACAATACAGATAGGTAGGGATTTCTGATTTGCTTTATGTAAATACTTTTGGAAATGGAGTTCTGTGACCTGCTGCCTGACCACTTTGATGATGGTTATTAACTGCCTGCATTCTTGCATTTTTGCTGAGTTTAGTGTCATTTTTACATATTCTTGTCAGTCTGTACAAGACTATGTTTTAGTGAACTGCCTCAATGATCATTATATGCTTGTGTCAGCATATATTTTCTGACACTGTTTTATGATTATTTTGGACTATTTTGCTTTCTGGGAGCTACTTATTCCTGCCCCACAAAAGAAATGTGTAATTTCTATTTCATTTATAGTTTCTGTTCTGGTTATTTTCATATAGTAATAAGACATAAAATCATCTATTTTCTGATATGAATAAAGAAATTTGCCAACTTAAAGGCAAATGTCAACTTAAGATAGAAAAATTTACCATGAATTACAAGGGTCTCATGCTCTACCAACTGAGCTAGCCTGGCACCTCAGCATATATTTTGTAGGGGACGGTGACTCTTAGCACATCATTTTAAAAAGAATAATTCTAGTGTTAATGCAAGCTTCAAAATGTGCCTTGAGAAACATCCCGGAGGTGTTGTAAAAACAGTTAACTTTGCAGTCCTGACTTAGCCCTGGAATGCTTCTCCAAAGACAAAGAACACCCAGGCCCAGATAACTACCGATGACCCTGCCTGTGTTGTTTCATCCCTTCCCTGGCCCTAGATAAACATTGTAACCATAAAGGAAATGTAGAGTTATCTAAACGGGGATGTACAGAACAGAGTACAGAAAATATGTATCATTGTGGTTGGGCTCATGACTGGAGCCTGACTCGGTCATGTGGCACAAGGAAAACAATGTGTGACCAGGGCTACAACATTCCAATCTGTTACCATGGAAATCAAAAATGTATATAAGGTGGGAACAAAGGCAGACCCACACCCACTTCCCTGACTTGCAAGCATGGATGAAGGGTGGCTAGCCTCAAATTAATAAACTCTGTTTTGTTCTCAAAAGAGTCAGTCTCTTGTGGAATACACCCTTTATACAGATGGCTTTCTGCTGTTACAATTATAAATAACATATAAACTTAGGAGAAAATGCTGGTAATTTAAGAACTTGTAATTTGCAACAGAGAATCAATTCAAATACCTGTCAACATTTTTTGCTCCTTTAAGGGAATGATATAAACCATAAGAATTTTTAACCCATTTAAATAGATGCAACAGAATATTTAAGAGTTTGTCAGATTCTGATGCTATTTGGGAGAAACCAAGATAAGAAAATATCACAGAGTCAAATGAAAAGCAGTCAAGGGCCAAAATAATCCATATATTGGAACAATTCATGAGTTATTCTTTGCTTTTAATTCTAATTTCAAAATAACTGTATATTTACCACTTTTTTATAATGTACTTTGAAATAGAATATTTAAAGAATAGCTAATGAATTTTCTTGCTTATTCCATTGGTAGCAGAGCAATCTCTATGTCTAAATTTAGAGCTCTCTCTGCATAAGTATGTAGCTTTCTCTATCTGCATATAGTGAAACTAGAAAATTAATGTATTTGCTTAGTAATCACATACTAAGGAAATATACTTATTATTCAATAATACTGTAGGGTTACCTAGAATTTTCCCATTTTTTTCATTATCTTCTTGATATTTGAATCTAGAAATTATTTTAGATGAGTAAAGGTACAAGTCTTGATTTTTCACAGCAGTGACAGAGTAATGGTGTGAATTAGCTACCACATTTCTGCACCTCTGAAAACCAATAAATGGTCTGTCTTTAGTATTCACAATCAGCCCAAATGCCTACAGGTTGATTGCAGAGAAACAAGGACACAATCATAGTCAATCAGATTAAATCTTAGTGAGAGAAATGTTCACATTGTTAAAAAGGTACTCAATGAAAAGCAAGCCAGAGAGGCCAGACTAAAATCAGTCACTAGGCCTCAAAGACATTAAATAAGTCTTTGGCCCAAAGCAGAAGCTCCATGAGATATCATTTATCATTTTGTTCTTTTCATGAAAAGAGACACATAATTCACACACAATTCTCTCATAGTATTTATCTAAAAGACAGTTTACAATCTTTTAGGTCACCAGATGATAGAACCAAAAACATTCTCACAGAGTCTTTTCCTTTCTTTTCTTTTTTGGTACTGGGAATTGAACTCAGGACCTTGGGCTTGCCAGGCAGGTGCTGTGCTGCTGAGCTATATCCCCAACCCCTCACAGAGTCTTTTCGTACTGAACTATTTTCCTTTTATATTAATGCAGCTTTGATACTAGAAGGCTTGGGGAGAAGCTCTAAGAAAGAGAAAGTATGTGTTTATAAAATTCAGAGCTGCCAGAGTGGTGGTGCATGCCTGTAATTTCAGCACTTGGGAGGCTGAGGAGGGAGGATCACTGTGAGTTTGAGGCCAGCCTGAACTGCATAGAAAAACAGTGTCTCAAAAAAAAAAAAAAAAAAAAGCGCTAAAATAAGCAAATCTTACTCTATACACACTTTCCTGAATCATACAAAAAGTTAACTTCATTGAAATGACCCTTGAACCACCAGTATAAAGGAAAATGTCACTGAATGTAAATCCTTTGAGAAATTGGCAGGAGAGCACATCTAAAAATATCCGAGTACCAATAAACTCAATGAAAGGTTAAACTTAATTGGGTCAAGCAAACATTTCTCTTTTTCATTCCCCCATACAAGTAACTTACAACTTTCGATCTCCAGGGTGCAGTTCTGCTCATCCAGAGGATATCTTCGAAGGTCCATCATACATGCAGCTGTGGTTGTGATCCTGCCAGGGTAAGAAAGAAAAAAATCATAAGCCACGACACTGTTTTGAATGTGCATATCTTTGGGATTACAGGCTTCCCAGCCTCAAATCATGCTCATCAGATGGTAACATAAGACATGAAAATGTTATGCGGTCATAAGGAACTACTATGAAAAATTACACTCAATCAGTGCAGGATGATCATAAAATATAGTGAGCATTTAAATTAAGAAAATTCTCACAGTAAAATACACATTGCCATCATTATACCTCAGAATACTCCCTCTTATTTTGAACACACTTATCCTATACTTCTTGGCAATGTGTACATTACTTTTACAGTAATAACATTTTTAAAAATTTAAATATTCACTGTATCTTTCAACCATCCTTGTGTATGTCAACAAATTCAATGACCTAGATGGGTAATTGGAAATAGATACATTCTCAGAAGCATACAACCTGCATAAACTATTACAAAAGTAAAGAGCTTGAACACACCAATAAAAATAAAAGAGAGTAAATAAGTTATCAAAACCTTCAACAACAAAAACACTTAAATGCTTTATGACTCTGTGGGTGAATTCTACCCATAATTCATAGGAAAATTAATATTAACTCTTCTTAAACTTCACAAATTAGAAATAGTAAGATTCTAAAACTTTTTTTATGAGATTAGCACCACACTGATTCCAAAATTAGACAAGTGCAATACAAGAACAGTATAAACCAAATCTTTTATAAAGAAGTTGCAAAAATCCTCAGTAAATTGCTTTAAAAACACACAATTCAACAGAATTTTAAAAAGATCATTCACTGTGGCTAAACAAAGTTTATTCCTCGAACGCAAAGATGTATACACAGCAACCAACACAAGCCAAGCTAAAAACATTTACAAATCCAGTGCAAGACAGGTCAAGGGTAAAATCAATTAATGTGATATTTCATAATCACAAAAAAACAGGATTCTCTTAGTAGATATAGAAAAACTTAAAGCTTTTCCTTTAAGATCTGGAACAAGATACAGATGTATCATCATCCCACTTCTGATCAACATAGTACTGGTAGTTCTAGCCATAGCAATCAGCTGAAAATAAAGGATATAGAAACCATACAACTAGGAAGAGAATAAGTATCTTTGTTGGTATCATGATCATATACAGAGAAAGCTGTGAAGACTCCACAGATAACTGTTGCAACTAATCATTTCGATAAAATTGCAGGATATAAAATCAATATACAGCACCATTTATTAAAGAGACTGTTGTTCTCCCAGTGAGTTTGATTGGCCCCTTTATCAAAGATTAGGTGGCTGAGTGTGTTTTTGGT